TGTATTAAATTATTATGGGAACTGTAACGTTATAGCAGAGAAGGAAGCAGAATCCAAGTGCAAGCACATATTTTAATTATACAAAAAGCTAATCCAGGGAACTCGACTCCAACTCAAACAGGAACACAGAGACAGCAAACATTACAACATTAAGAACTCACATGGCACAGAAACAGAAAATAAGACAAGTCCAAACCATGGGAACACATAGCATGGCATCTGGTGGTTCAGTGGTTCACTTATATCACCATACACTGTGAATGTGTAATAATTACTCTATGTATTCAACAACAAAAAAAGTACAATAATTTGTGGTAACACTTTATTTTACGACCCGCAAACAACTGAACATCCTGAACATGTTTTGCCAGAAATGTGATACATTTTATAAAAAACAGACGTACAAACTTTGCCTGGAATATATTAACAGAATAGGTACCAGTTATTTTTTAACTAATTAAATAATTTGCTTGTACATCTGCTTGTTACCCCCTCCCCAAACTTAACATATTGTTCCCTTATACCAACACTGAAGTACCCATAATTACAGAAATATACACCGTATTTCAGTGTAGCCTACTTACAAAGTTATTTGCAGGTTGTATATCGCTTGTTACCCCTTATTACCCCAACTTAACATATTGTTCCCTTATACTTACACGGAAGTACACTATAATTACAGAAACGTACACCGTAATTTCGGTGTACTTACACAGTTGTTTGCGGGTCGTAAAATAAAGTGTTACCTAATTTGTGGGTTAGTTATGTTAGATTGCTTTTTTCTGTAATTGTTAGTAAAAAAAAAAATGGTTTCACAAACTTATCATTGCAACTATAAGCTTTGAAGACCAGTGTTTAAATGTTAAGACATGGCTGAATACAACAACAAATTTAATGCAGTTTTGAGACTGAGGCCTTTACCTTGTGGCCGTTGCAAGGATTATCTGTCTCATAAATGTATAGTATTTTTCTGATGACACGTGTAGTACATTTGTATAGTGATAAGTTAACATTCACCAATCATCACTTGATCAACACAAATATTTCATTTCAGCTGCTCTTTAACCTCTTTCTTTTGTGCAGAAGGTCAAAGGTTGATGATGTTTATACTGTGTTTGTCGATGCCTAAGTTAATAATTTAATTACACAAAACCAATGTCTTGTCCATTATAAATGTATGAATGTCTCACGGAAAGAGAAAATGTAGACTGGATTTACATTGGATTGTTAATCCACTGGATTGTTACATTGTCAAATGCCTAAATTGTTTCTCTTTCTCTTTTCTTCTGTAGCATTAATCTCAAATGTGTATGAAAAAAAGACACCTGGTCTACTTAAAAGCAGTTTGGATAACAATGTAGCAATTTAATTTGTACATTTTTATTTATTTGTTCCTCACAGATCTTACAGAGAAAGTGTGCAATGTTGATGTTACAAAACATTTATCTTATCCCATCACTAAGGATGTCATTTCTAGGTTGATTTATATATATATATATATATATATATATATATATTTGTCCTGTTTGTTTGGGCATTCAGAACATCCTAATATATATCATATCATAAAGTCTTGTAATCATACAGCTTTTTTAATGGTTTATTTGTTAGAAATAACAACATGTTTCACGTTGTAAATTAATACTTTAATAATTCACTAAATTAAGGTAAGAATTTGATCAAATATTTGATGTAACTTAAAAAATCCAAGTAACTTAAAAAAAATACAAATTGGGGGTTAAATTAATGTATTAAATTGTAAGAATAGTTAAGCACTTGGATATTTGTTATGTTTTGGTTTGTCTAATTGATTTAAATTGCCACTGATTTAATGCCAATTGATATAACACTGTATTCACTTAGGCTACATACATTTACTTAATTTGAATTGACTGATTCCATGAACAGTCAACATGAATCAGACTGTTTTCGCAACTGTTATCTTTCATCCAGTGCTATTGTGCTTGAATGGAAACCACACTGGTGTAGCCAGCTAATTTTACTTATTTCCTTCAGAATCAGTGCTCACACTGGTGTCACTGAGTACAAGAGAGGTGAGGGGGTGGAAAGAGATTATCTGTTCAAGAATGCAAGTGCAAAAAAATAGTGCTGAGTCCAGACTGTCTGCTGCAACTGAAGAAAACTAAACTATCATGACTTTAATTGGACTTATAGAGTATTTTTAGCATACATCAAAATGTCAAGTTACACATAACATGTTACTTTTCAGTGTACTGTGTATCTTAAGTACTTAAGTCTCTTCAGTGTATCTTAAATAAGATACAACTCAAAAATGAAAACTTTTTTTCCTTTCCATAAATATCCATTTTAAAGACTCTCAGAGGCTGGTTTATATATTATACACCTGCCTATGAGAGTTTTTAAAATTGATAATATTCTGAAGTTTGAAGTTATTGAGACAGCTAGTTCCTAAAAGCACCACTTTTCGACATTTTGCCAACAGTATCATTCCAGTATCATTTGCCAAATCTCTTCCTGACGTCTAATTATAACCTTTTAAAAATATGATGAAACACACATCGGGTGTGTCAGCAGCCTGGTACGTCATCACACGTCTCGGCCAATAGCAATGGAGGCGTAAGTGTATACGGGTGGCCGATTGGTCAAAAGTTTCCGTTTCAACACAGACGCAATATAAATGTCAACAGACATGCAAGCATGAGAAAGAAACGCAAAACAACCGAGGACAAAAAACAGGCAGAAGGTTTATTTCAGATCCGGAAGACGAACAGTTCACGTGGTGTGATAATTCAGTATGGTGGACAGTGTTTACCGTACACGCTCTCTAGGTATAGGTGCAGTTGGTCTTCCTGATCAGTATGCCGACGGTAAAGCAGCGAAAGTGTGGCAGCTGTACATCGGAGACACTCGGAGCCGGACAGAGGAGTACAAGAGCTGGGTGTTTTCCCTGCTGAGAAAACATGGGGTTCAGAGCGTGCTGGATGTAGCCTGCGGTACAGGGTATGAACTAACAAAACTTATAAGAATAATAAATGAATAAAACGAATAAAAACTCTCCCTAACTGATGGACAAGGCCAGGGCGATTGTCTGTTATACTTTATTTATTTACTCTGCTTTTCTGTCCGATTGAAAGTGGTGGGGGGTCATTTCAGATTTAATAAAGCCTAATGGACATTTAGTCCACTGCTAGATTGTTTAGGCTACTGTCTTGGTTTATTGAACTCCACCTCTTACTAATCTGGGTCATGTGGGTTGGCCTTTAAGCTTTTCCACTGATAAGTGGAATGCCATTTAGGCTAAATTAAACAAAGTCAGTTTTGCAGCCAGAGTCCCACGATAAAGGAGTGGTTGTGCTTTTTTGTCACATGATTCGAACCATAGACGGATACGAACGATTGAGGTTCGACGGCGGCATCCATCCATGTAGGCTACAAAATCTACTTCAAAATCCCAGCGCTTTCGTCATCGTGTAAAGCCCGCCTCGACGTTTCTGATTGGTGCCTCGATTTTCTGAATGAGCTCTTTGCCAAACATCCAGAACAAATCTGGCCAACCGCCGTAAAATAGCAACAAGAAGAAATCTAAATTTGCCGGAAGTTGTCTGGGTTTTCCCAGGCTATCGGAACCGGTGTGTGTGTGTGTGTGTGTGTTTTATATATATTTATAGTTTTTAATTGGTTTATCTTTTTGTGTATTAGATAGTCTAAATATACTTTTGAAAGATGATTCTGTAATGCTTACAATAAAACTGTAATACTTACAATAATACAATAAGCTTTTAACACTGTTAAAGTATTACCTAACATGAACTAACAATGAATGAGCAATACATTTGTTACAATATTTATTCATCTTTGTTAATATTAGTTAATAAAAATACAGTCATTGTTTGTTCATCTTCGTAAGATTAGGCCTAAATTAATTTTATAGAAGTATTCATTCTTATTTCATGTTGACTAAAGTAGCAGTAGTTAACTAATATTAACTTATACAAACTTATTGTAAAGTGTCATTGATTTTTTTTTTAAGTGGCATTTAAATTTGAGTGCAAAAAAAATCTATATGACACCAACAAAGTAATATATGTTTCTTGAAATATGAAGAGATGAAAGTAAGTGAAAACAGGGGTGAGGTAGTGGATCATACAGACACACACACACACGTGTGTGTGTGTGTGTGTGTGTGTGTGTGTGTATGATCCACTGAACTTCTGCTCCCTGCCAATTGACACATGATAATCTGTATTTTGTGGAGTCTTAATGGACAATTGTTAACTCAGCATAACCTACAAAACTTGTTTTCTGGAGTTCAAAGACATACCTTTGAACTCCAGCCGATACATGTTGTTCTGTTTTTCTATTGGATTACACACACATTCAATTTTCCAGGGGGTTTTGTTCATTAATGGTCTACTTGCACTGAGCTTTATGATGTACTTCCAATTTGAAATAAAATGGCACTCTAGTTTTGCTGTATATGTTTACAATGTACAACTCTTGTCTTGTTCCTGAAACGCCACAAAGTTTTTGCATCCTGTTGGGAAGTTTGCGCAATTTTTCACATATTGGATTAGCAAATACACAGATGTTTCAGATGTTTTCATGTAGCAGCAGAAACACTTTTGATTCAGTACCTTATGTGCTGCTTAATACAGCACCTGTATGTAGTATGTACAAAAATTAAGTTAACATAAGCCATAACATAATACTCTATATGGCCTGGTTTCACAGACAGGGCATAGATTAACCCAGGATTAGGCCTTAGTTTAATTAGGACAATTTAATTAGCTTTTATAAACGTGCCATAGAAACAAACTGGTGTCCATCTTGAGCCAAAATAATGGCACTGACATATTTTTGGATATATCCGTGCAAGTTGCTTTCAGTTAAAACAGCTTAAACATGCATTTTAGTCTGGGATTAGTCCCCCTGTTGTCAATAATTGTCTCACTTAAAACTCATCTTTGATCACCCAAATGACATATTTAAATAAATAAAAATTCTATGAAAAAAATAGCTTAAAATAGCTTGAATGTAACTCGACACCATTGCTTCATTTAATATACGCAGGGATAGAGAATGTCGGTTCTGGAGGGCCGCTGTCTTGCAGAGTTTGGTTCCAACCCTGATTAAAACTCACTGCCTGTAGCCTTAGTGATCCTGAAGATGTTAATTGGCTGATTAGGGTTGGAACTAAACTCTGCAGGACAGCGGCCCTCCAGGAACGATGTTCCACATCCCTAGTATACACGTAACTATTAATATGCAAAAATTTATTTTTATATTTAATATAGACCCGCCTTCAATCACTTACACCAGCTGAGAGATCCACTCTGTCAACTTTACCATAGTAAACGCTGCATAGCAAGTGGAAATACTGGTTTAATTCAGCCATATATGTTTGAACCAGAAACTGATTCAGAAGAAGAAGTGGAAGAGTGAATTATACAGGGTTGTCTTCAAGTCGTTGTATCAGAATGATGATGTATTTTATGTATCGCAACTTCAGACACATAATGGTAGTTAACATGATTTGCCTTTTGCTTGACTACGTTATCAAACAGTTAATAATGTGTTACTAATGTTACAAAAACCATGTTCCCGTTCACCATCAGCATCCTTAGAAATGCTATGGAACAAATCAGATTGTCAGTGGAGAAAGGTATATAGTTTATTATAACATCATAATACATAATTATATTCAAAATTAACCCGCTATATTGCTAAATGATTTTTCATATCAAAAGAAAAATATACCTGGATAGCCTGACTTTTTTTGAGACTTGCCTGCTTTGCAGCATAGTAATGATGCTGGGCTAAAGCCCACTGGGCTAAAGCCCACCGGCATGTTGACGTGATTGGTTAGTTTGTGACATCAGAAACGCCAGTGATTCCAAACCGCGTTTTTGAGACCGTCTTTGGCTCACTGCAGTTTTTAGGATAAAAAACTCATGGTGTTGACATGTATTTGCACATGGTTTTACGTTTGCACATTTTTACCTTTTTTTAAGGGTGGATTCCATCATGTTGGTAGAGGAGGGATTCAAGGTGGTTAGTGTGGATGCCAGTGACAAAATGCTCAAATATGCTCTTAAAGAGAGATGGGAGAGGAGAAAAGAGCCAGCCTTCGATAACTGGGGTAAATGAAGATCTCTGTTTTGAGTGAGAATTAAAAAAAAAAAAATTTTAAATTTCTCCATGGTCTGATCTTATCTTTTCAGTAATTGAAGAGGCCAACTGGCTAACATTAGACGAAGATGTTAAGAAACCTGGAGATGGGTTTGATGCAGTAATCTGTCTAGGGAACTCATTCGCTCATTTACCAGACTTCAAAGGTAAGAATACCAAAGCAAAATAGGTTTCAGATTTTGACAGATTTATCTAATGAACTTCTTTCTCATATCTCACAGGGGACCAGAGTGATCAGAAGCTTGCCTTGCAAAACATAGCCAGCATGGTGAAACCTGGAGGGATCCTAATTATTGACCACCGTAACTATGATTACATCCTCGAGACTGGTCAAGCACCACAAGGAAAGAATATCTACTATAAGGTAAAACGTCTTGGTTATGCATGTAACCCTCGTTTTCTGAAGAAGGGAACGGCGAAGTTACGTCATAACGACTGACGAATTGGGATCTCGTCTGAGAAAGTAATGTCGAACGTGACTGACTGAAAGGGAACCCAATTGTGTTCTTGTAACCACACCATAGTTCACTTCATTGTGTTTTAAGAGTATCATATATACACTATAATGGTGCTTGGCTTTTAACTAAAGTTATGCATTCACTTGATTGTTTGTAAAAAAAAAATTTTTAAATATAGACATTCCAATCCATGCAAGCCTTCTGATAACTATTTTCTCAGACTTACCTGCCTAAACATGAATGTAACTGAGCCAAATCATGGATTAGAAGACAACACTGTAGGCATATAAGAAGGAATATTTAAAAACATCCAGTTTGACAGGATCTGTAGTTCGTCAATCTTTCCATAAAATTATGCTTAAATCTGGAGATAAATTATATACACAATAATGGCTCTTTAAGCAAGTCATATTAACCAAGTCATAAATTAAGTTGCATTCTGTGAGCCTCATATACTTAAGGACTTATGTTTCAGAGTGACCTGAGGCAGGACATCTCCACCTCAGTGTTGTGGGTTAATAACAAGCCTCACATGATCACACTGGACTACACTCTAATACTGCCCCAAGCAGAGGACATTCAGACTCCGCCTGAGACGAGGTACTGTGGTGGGGTCAGTTTTTGGGTTGTTGTGATGCATTATCAGCGATTAATACTCTAGGAGGCTGTACTGTACCAACTATCTCAAGAGGGACTAAATGCCGCTTGGTGGAACAAACTGTAATTTGCACTACTATCTGTCCAAAATCAAATAGAAGAAACCTTGTGTAAAAGAAGCATGTGCTGTTCCCTTTCGAAGGGAACTCAACAATACGTCGAATGACGCTATGGGGGAACGCCTCAGGCGTGACAGGTGTCTGAAATCAAATATCAACTCACAGTAATCAGGTTGACCGGCGACAGCCCGTGCATCATCAGCTTGAACGATGAGCGCGTCAATCTGGATGTATAAGAAGGGCGCCTTGAAACCGTGACAACATCTTTTCGTCTTCAGGGACTGTTTGTCTGTGTGATAGTATCAACGATTAAGCGCGCAGAGACGTGGAGAAACACTTTGCGCGAGTGTGCCGACTTGTGTCCAGATATTTGACACCGGAGGATTCACACGATCTGTGCGTGTTCTGCCTGAAAGAAGAGCATGTGCGGGAAGCTCTCGAGGGAGTTTTTTGCGCGAACTGAGAGTTTTCCTTTCAGAACTCTCTGCTCTCGTCTGACCCACTTCTCGAGGGAAGTGGGCGCGGCATCTGAACCCCGCGGTTCCGGTTCCCGCTCGGGCTGAGGCTCAGTGGCGGTTGAGCTCGTGGAGCTTTCAGATGGAGCTGGCAGATTATCGGGAGAGGGGCGTTAACCTCGCGGATGATCTACCAGCTGACGAGGGTGAGTTACAGATTAATGTTGAACATCTAAGAAGAGAGAAAATGAGCGCTCTCTCTCTCTTTGGTGAATCTGTAACTGTTCTCTTTGGGCAGGGCAGGAGTTGGCTGTAATATATATATATATATATATATATATATAGAAAAGGATGTCAGTTTGGTTGAGACCGAATCATTTCAGCCCTCCTGCCCAGTGTACGCTGAGCTGGTTGACATTATGGGGCGCGCCTCAGACAGATTGCTGTTGCAGTGGAGGCGCGTCTGGGAGGAACCCGCTCATGGTATTTTGGATGGCTGGTTCCTCCCCACCCATAAGCCACCAGCCCGGATGAGCCTTCCATTCGTTTCCGATCTCCACGCTGGGATTGAGAGGGTATGGAAGAATCCGTTCTCCTCACGTCTCTATCTGCATCAGCGGGCTAGTTTCGCTGCTGTGGAGGGAGCCGTGGAGAACGGATAAGTGTCGAGGCCGCCAGTGGACGAGACGTTGGCTAACTATCTCGTCTCTGGTTGGTCCTCTTCACTAAGAGCTCTGACCCTGTCATCCAAGCTGCTCAAGACATCTTCATGCTTGAATGACAGAGCGTACACGGCAGCAGGTCAGGCAGGTGCGGTTCTGCACGCCCTTGTGGTCCTCAGGCCTACCAGACCGATCTGTTGCGGGACTCCGGGCCACCAAGCAATCTGCTGTTCTGTCGGTGCTATGGTGGCCACGGAGAGACATCTGTGGGAGCTCCCACATACTGTGGTTGCCAGGTTACAGGCCTCACCAGGCCTTCCTGGTTATGAGCTCCCACTGATTGTGGTCACCGGGTTACAGGCCTCACCAGGCCTTCCTGGTTATGAGCTCCCACATGCTGTGGTCGCTGGGTTACAGGCTTCACCAGGCCTTCCTGGTTATGAGCTCCCACATACTGTGGTCGCCAGGTTAAAGGCCTCACCAGGCCTTCCTGGTTATGAGCTCCCACACATTGTGGTCGCCAGGTTACAGGCCTCACCAGGCCTTCCTGGTTATGAGCTCCCACATACTGTGGTCGCCAGGTTACAGGCCTCACCAGGCCTTCCTGGTTATGAGCTCCCACATACTGTGGTCGCCAGGTTACAGGCCTCACCAGGCCTTCCTGGTTATGAGCTCCCACATACTGTGGTCGCCAGGTTACAGGCCTCACTAGGCCTTCCTGGTTATGAGCTCCCACACATTGTGGTCGCTACGTTACAGGCCTCAAAGGGGCCTTCCTGGTTATAGTTCCCACATACTGTGGTTGCCGGGTTACAGGCCTCACCAGGCCTTCCTGGTTATGAGCTCCCACTTATTGTGGTCGCCAGGTTACAGGCCTCACCAGGCCTTCCTGGTTATGAGCTCCCACATGCTGTGGTCGCTGGGTTACAGGCTTTACCAGGCCTTCCTGGTTATGAGCTCCCACATACTGTGGTCACCAGGATACGAGCTCTAACGTACTGTGGTCGCCAGGTTAAAGGCCTCACCAGGCCTTCCTGGTTATGAGCTCCCACACATTGTGGTCGCCAGGTTACAGGCCTCACCAGGCCTTCCTGTTTATGAGCTCCCACATACTGTGGTCGCCAGGTTACAGGCCTCACCAGGCCTTCCTGGTTATGAGCTCCCACACATTGTGGTCGCTAGGTTACAGGCCTCAAAGGGGCCTTCCTGGTTATGAGTTCCCACATACTGTGGTGGTCAGGTTATAGGCCTCACCAGGCCTTCCTGGTGATGAGCTCCCACACATCGTGGTTGCTAGGTTACAGGCCTCAAAGGGGCCTTCCTGGTTATGAGTTCCCACATACTGTGGTAGTCAGTTTACAGGCCTCACCCAGCCTTCCTGAATGTGGGCTCCCACATGATGCGGTAGCCAGACTACAGCCTCACCACCTTCCCTGAGCACTTTGCTCCCACTCTGTGGTCACCAGGCTTCAGGTATGGAGCGAAGTATGTGCCTAAACCTCACACACAAACAAAACGTGTTTTACTCACACCCAATGATTCACAAACAAACTCAGTGTAGTTTGTAAATACAAAACATCACTCACAAACTAATGCATATTGTTCTGCAAATAAAAAACGTACCTATCAAACAAATAGGACAGTATGTTTTACATATACATAGAAACGTATTTCTTCAATGACCAAAATATCCTGCAAGTACAAACTAAAATCTTTAAAAGTACAAAACAAAATTCTACAAGTACAAAGCAAAATTCTACAAGTACAAAACAAAATTCTACAAGTACAAAGCAAAATTCTACAAGTACAAAGCAAAATTCTACAAGTACAAAGCAAAATTCTACAAGTACAAAACAGAATTCTACAACTACAAAACAGAATTCTACAAGTACGAAAAACTGTCACGTGACTTTTGGCACTATTTTTCCGCGTCCAGGCAGAATCAGATTTTCTCACAAATACAGTGGAACAACTTCCTCTTCTAGAACAGTAGATGGCGCTAAGATAAGGGATCAATTTGCTCGCCTTTGCCCATGGGAAAATGAGCGGTGAACAGGTGTGTTTCTGTCCAACTTTATCTATAATTAACCTTATTGAGGTTTTGGAAAATGTTTATTATATAGACAGAAATCCACATTAGCACTTAGTAGTAACGTACTCCACTCTAGGATAAGGGAATCTATAAGCTGAAAGCTGCCATCATGTTGCTTTTACTTTTTGTAAAAATGTTTCATTTACTGAATGACTCTATTTCTTTCGTTCTCCGTAAATTAATGAGAATTAATTTCATTTAATTGAAAGGGTCCCACTTATTCATTAATTTAGTTGGAATTCAGTCAGCGTAACTGTTAATGTAATAAAATAATAAATGAACAAAACAATATAGGCCTACAGTTGTTTCTTCCTTGTGATGTTGTCCAAATTATTATTTTGGACAGACAAATGAAACCCTCCTTTCAATTAAATTAAATGGTCTCATTAATGTATGGAGAACGAAAGTAATAGATTCGTTCAGTGAACATAATCACTAATTTAGTCATTTCACACGCGTCTTATGTAGAGATTATTAATATTATTTTTTAAAGCAACATATGACATAGATTTCAGCCTAGATTCCCCTAGAGAGAGTGAAGTGTTAATAGCGGTAATATGGATTTTGTCAAGAAATAATTAACATTTTGCAAAGAAAACCTCAATAAGGTTATTATATAAAGTAACAGAAACACACCGTTCACCGCTCACTTTCCTCAGCTGTAGTAGGCAGTGTTGGGAAAACGTATTTCGTTACAGAATAAATGCCCCAAAATGTCATTTGTAACGTATTCCATTACATTAGCCACTCAATCTGAGGGATTACATCCGCATTGAATTGCCTTTTAGAAGTGTAAGAATTGTGGCCATCTAATTCTGTTTACTAAACTGGGCTATTCTGGTGATGCGGTGGTGACGCGTGTAACATGTAGGGTGGCACTGCCAATAAAGCACCTTAAAGCTGTCACAAAGAACCGGCAAAAGATTATGAATAGGCTATGTAAAATATAGCAAGAAGATATTTTAATTGTTATTAATAAACAAGTGTATCTCTTGTCAGTGTGTCGGCTGAAAACATGAAGTTGACAATGCTGACTCGCGATCTTCGCCGTGAACGCGCCAGGATTAATAATCTACCTACAAGACGCGTGTTGAAATGACTAAAGTAGTGATTATGTATACACTGAACGAATCTTACTTTCGTTTCGTTCTTAATAATGAAAACATTTAATTTAATGAAAGGAGGGTTTCATTTGTCTGTCCAAAATAATAATTGGACAATACATCACAGGGAAGAAACAACTGCTATATTGTTTGATTTGTTCATTCATTATTTTATTACATTAACAGTTACGCTGACTGAATTCCAACAAAATTAATGAATAAGTGGGACCCTTTCAATTAAATGAAATGTTCTCATTAATTTATGGAGAACGAAAGAAATAGAGTCATTCAGTAAATGAAACATTTTTACAAAAAGTAAAAGCAACATGATGGCAGCTTTCAGCTTATAGATTCCCTTATCCTAGAGTGGAGTACGTTACTACTAAGTGCTAATGTGGATTTCTGTCTATCCACAAGTTTCCGAGGGGCGCTCCTGTAAAAAATAAAGTGGGTGAAACTTCCGGTGAGGCGGCGGAAGTAGCATTCCAATGGTATTTTGTATGTTAGTTAGCGAAGAGGCTAGCTGTTTTTCGGAGAATTATTTTACTATTTAAAGACGCAAATCTTTATGAGAGATGTCGTTACGGAGCTCATGGACAACATGTGCTGTTCGCGGTTGTATGTATAACCGGACTAAACTAGTTCAGTGGCTTAAACGTGATTGTTTTGAACATAAGCTGAAAACGAAATCAGAGTGTTCCTGCCAACTACTGTAGTTTCCATCACCTCCCAAAAGACGACGAATCTTCCTGTGTACATTTGTTTAAATTCTTAATATTCTATAAACTTTTATCAGCATGTGTTTGGCTGTTCGCTACTGATGTTACACCTAAACTCAGGATCAAAGCCTGTGTTGACAGAATACCAAATGTGCCAGTTAATGTATTCAAGTAGCACATTCATTATAATTTTGAATAAACTCCAAAGCACAATGACTAAGTGTGTATTTTTATTTTAATTGTTTGTCAGCTCGCAACAACTGTCTGTCACCATGCCTTGATGAGTATTGGTTATTAATAATGTTATTATAATACTCCCAATCAACTACTGCGGAGGGTAAAGGTACTGTTATTTCACCTTTTTTAATTTCGTTGAGGTTGTGTTCCCACATCGTTAGCTAGTTTGGATCGCTATAACTTGAATGACTGTCAACTGTTGAATGAACGAGTGTCAAGCATGTCAAGTCGTGCTTTGTTTACTTCCAACCGGAAGTCGCGCCCACTTTTGACGCAAGGCCTCATGGGGCGTAGGAAACTTGTGGATATAATAAACATTTTCCAAAACCTCAATAAGGTTAATTATAGATAAAGTTGGACAGAAACACACCTGTTCACCGCTCATTTTCCCATGGGCAAAGGCGAGCAAATTGATCCCTTATCTTAGCGCCATCTACTGTTCTAGAGGGAAGTTGTTCCACTGTATTTGTGAGAAAATCTGATTCTGCCTGGACGCGGAAAAATAGTGCCAAAAGTCACGTGACAGTTTTTCGTACTTGTAGAATTCTGTTTTGTACTTGTAGAATTTGCTTTTGTACTTGTAGAATTTTGCTTTGTACTTGTAGAATTTTGTTTTGTACGTGTAGAATTTTGTTTTGTACTTTCAAAGATTTTTAGTTTGTACTTGCAGGATATTTTGGTCATTGAAGAAATACGTTTCTATGTATATGTAAAACATACTGTATTTGTTTGATAGGTACGTTTTTTATTTGCAGAACAATATGCATTAGTTTGTGAGTGATGTTTTGTATTTACAAACCACACTGAGTTTGTTTGTGAATCATTGGGTGTGAGTAAAACACGTTTTGTTTGTGTGTGAGGTTTAGGCACATACTTCGCTCCATATTCAGGCTTCATTGGCCTTCCTGGTTGTGAGTTGTCACATGTCAGGTTGCAGGCTTCACCAGGCCTTCCTGAATGTGAAACCCCCACTTTTCGTGGTCGCTAAGTTGTAGTGGTGAGTCTTCACATGTCAGGCTGCAGGCCTCAGCGGCCTTCCTGAATGTGAGCTCCCCATGCATTGGGACTATCGGGTGTTAGGCCTTGTCAGGCCTTCCTGATTATGGGTTCCCACTTGTTGTGGCTGCCAGGTTACAGGCCTCAAGTTCGGCCTTTCTGAATTCAGAGTGAAGTACACTAACCCCTACTTCACCTATTATTGTGGTAAATCACATGACGGGATGTCTTGTGTACTTTCTAAAATCCATTTTGTATGGTAAGGGTCACGCGTGGTATGCTTCGGTCCCTTCTTATGTGGCTCAGACCCCGGTCTTCCCTTGGGTCCCACTTTAAGTGGCGTCCTGTCACTGGCTACAGGGATGCCCTTCTCTGGCTAACTTCTGGAAGAAGTAGCTTCCACTTGGTGGAGTAAGCTCCACAGGTTGTGGTCACCAGGCTGGGTCTCACTGACCTTCCTGAGTACGAGCTCCCACCCAATGTGGTCGCCAGGTTACAGGCCTTACCAGGCCTTCCTGGTCATGAGCTCCCACACACTGTGGTCGCCAGGTTATAGGTCTCAACAGGCCTTCCTGGGTATGAGCTCCCACATATTGTGGTTGCTGGGTTACAGGCCTCACCAGGCCTTCCTGAATCAGAGTGAAGTACACAAACCCATACTTCACCTATTATTGTGGTAAGTCACCCGACGAGATGTCTTGTGCACTTTTCAAAATCCATTTCTTATGGTGAGGGTCACGCGCAGTATGCTTCGGTCCCTTCTTATGTGGTTCAGACTCCGGTTCTTCACTTTGGGTCCCACTCTAGATGTGTCTTTGTCGCAATACATTACGACAGGCACGTCCCTTGTTCGAGCTATCTCCAACAACTGGTGGTTTTAGGTCTCATTAGACCTTTTTCGAAGGTAGCCCCACATTGTGGGTCTGTCAGGTTCTAGCCTCTGGCTTTCCTGAAGGATGAGCTTCCACATGCTGTGGTCGTTGGGTTTCAGGCCGCACAACGTACGGCCTTCCTGACATGAGCCCTCATGTATCGGAGCTCCACACACATGGGGTCATCAGGTCTTAGGTCTCTTTGACCTTCCTGATTTTGATCCCTCTCTTACTTCCTCAGTGCTCAAAAGCGAGCACTGGGTGGAAACTCGTGGATTGAGTGTACGATTCCCATTGGTTCGAGGTTGAGTCACACTCTCCGGAGGATCCCGTCTCTGTGATCCGAAACTCGATGGTTTCCGCCAGCTTCGCGGGCCTTCAGTTTTTGGATGCCTTTTCTAGGCAATTTCCAGAGGCTCTGTCTTGGACGGACAGGCTATGGCCAGACTGTGTGTCTTAGTACAGATCACCAGGCCAGCCTGGGGCATTTCAGGAGGAGTGTTCTCCTGAATAGTGACTGGCTGGGGGTCCCTTTGGCCCCCTAGCCACACTCCCTAGAAGGGACCCCTTCTATTTTGAAGTTGTGGTCCTAAAGCCTTTGAGCTGGCCCTGATTTACTCACGTTATTACGTTCTGGTTTTTCTTGGTTCATTAGCTTGGGCTATGACCGGTAGGGAGTGCTGTCACTGACAGCCCGATGTAACATAGGGTGAGTGGTTTCAGTGTTCCTTGGAATTACTGGTTCTGACAGTTGTCACTGCCTTTCGGCATGCACTCCCCTCAGCATGGCGGAGTGGGTATTTCGTTCCCCATAGCGTCATTCGACGTATTGTTGAGTTCCCTTCGAAAGGGAACGTCTCAGGTTACGACTGTAACCTATGTTCCCTGAGAACAGGGAACGAGACAATACGTCTCGTTGCCATGCCTCGGGGCCTGCCTGCAACAGTCCCTTCAGACGATAGGATGTTGTCACGGTTTCAAGGCGCCCTTCTTATACATCCAGATTGACGCGCTCATCATTCAAGCTGATGATGCACGGGCTGTCGCCGGTCAACCTGATTACTGTGAGTTGATATTTGATTTCAGACACCTGTCACGCCTGAGGCGTTCCCCCATAGCGTCATTCGACGTATTGTCTCGTTCCCTGTTCTCAGGGAACATAGGTTACAGTCGTAACCTGAGACGTTTTTTCTGGTAACACTTTATTTTAGGGTCCAATTCTCTCTATTAATTAGTTCCTTATTATTAGCATGCGTAATACTAGGATATTGGTTGTTTTTTTTTAGTACTTTTAATATGTACTTTTAGTACATATTATTGCCTTATTCTGCATGACCTTATTTTACATTCCTCAATCCATTCCTTAAGTCTCATACCTAAATTTTACTAAAAAACCTTACTAACTAATAAGCAGTAATTTAAAAAAGGTCAAAACTCATAGTTAATAGTGAGAATTGGACCCTAAACTAAAGTGTGACTCTTTTTCCTGTTGTACCAAACTTGTTTCGAACCGTGACCTCAAAACCGTGACCTCGAGTTACGTAGCATTGACTTTTGTGTACCATTACACCCTGCAAATTATTTGGTTTTCCAGCATCTTTTGCCCTTTACAGCAGGAACTGTATTTTGAGATCCATCCTTTCACACTGAGGACAATTGAGGGACTCATACGCAAGTATTACAAAAGGTTAAAATATTCAATGATGCTCCAAAGGAAACATGGTGCTCCAGAGGTTGTAAACTATTTGAATTTGAAGATCAAGTTAAATTGTACTTAATTTGTCTTCTGGGAGACATGCAGGTATCTTTTGTAGCTTCCGAAGGGCAGTACTAAATAAATAAAAAATAAGAAAAATGTACATATCATCTTGTTTAAATGTTTACACACCCGGTTCTAAATGCAATGTTTCCTTCTGGAGCATCATTGAATGTTTGAACCTTTTATAATACTTGCATATAATTCCCTCAGTTGTCCTCAGAGTGATGTCATACTAAAATTTACATTTTGTTATCATTTACATGCCCTCATGTTGCTCCAGTCCATTCCACGTGTATTTTTACATTTATTTGCAGTATATTTGTCCTCTGTCTCTAAGATTACTGAGCCAGAACAATTACCGCAGCGATTCTTGAAAATGGGCACCTTACAGTTAATACTCATTTTTAAAACAATCAGCCATAATCATCTGAAATAAACTAGGTCTGAATCCAATAACATTGCAAATGCATATAGTATGCAATGATGCAGCTTCCAGTGATGTCATACTTTTAAGGCCTGAGCAAGTGTTTATTCATGCGTAAATATGTGCATGTCGCAGTTATAAAAAAAAATCAGCCTTAAATTTATGAACAGATTTATGCCGGCCGGTAGCCAAACAATCAATGCATCCCTAGTATATGTAAAATAATTTGTAGTTAGCATTTAAGATAAATCCTAAATTATTTGTTGAATTGGAATGAATAAGTTTAGATGTTCGACACACTATGCTTAACTCAACACTAGTTTGCTTAACAGTTCTTTCAATAACTCACTACTTGTCGTTTTTGTTGATCTATTACTATTTTATATGATATTATAAATGTGTAGCCTATATTTTATATACATTGAAAATGAATGTGTGTTTCAGGAATTGGTTATACATGTTTTAAGTAATGTTTTTTTCTTTATGTCTTTTAGTAAATTCCGCCTGTCATACTACCCCCATCGTGTGGAGAGTTTTAAGGAGATTTTAAGAGCATCATTTTTGGGAAAATGCGAGCACAATGTATATGGTGACTTCAAGCAATACACCCCAGGGCAAAGAGAAGTGCCCTGTTATTTCATCCATGTGGTTAAAAAGACTACTTAAAGCCACATGAATTCTGCAATTCACATTTCATCTTCACATGGAAAACTGTGTTTGTCTGTGGAAATGGCTTCGCGTCATTTCGCGTCATCAATCGCGTCAGGGAATTCTTTTAGTTGTTTTTCTTGGAAAGTGTAAAACTGATTTAGGCATTTCATATACAGTTTCGGTTGAACTGGTAAGAGGCCCACATACTATTAATTGTCTTGCTTATTATTTCCTTTTTTTTTTTTTTTTTTTTACTTTTCACATTACACATTCTTGTTCTTTAATTATTAGAAAGAATTATACCACTTCTTGTTTGATTGTTTTGATATCCAGATTCCACATTTCTACATAAGATAGAATGAGTGTCTAAATATAGAGCCTCAATCACTTTGTATCTTCCAGAATTGCTATTCTAGAATAACAGCTTCTTTTGCATTGAACATTTTTCATTTACATTGTACTTTACAACAGAAAAGTACAAAGAGCCTGTTCACACAGAATTTTTTTTTTCACTGTGACTTCTTTGGACTCATATGTCAGAATATAAAACGATAAATATATAAACACCCCCTTTTCCCTCTCCCAAATATTAAATCATTGTCATGCTAGAATATGTAATATATTTAAAAGGAATATAATTATAATAATAGTTGTGACACTATGTCACAGGTAATCACATCCATGCACATCAGACCAACAACACTATTTGTGTAGATATTACTTTTATAAAGAGTTCAAAAAACAAGTTATTTAGTAACTTGCATTTTAGACCCATTATTGCAAACTGATAGTGTAATGAACTATTCATACGCAAAGATTAAAGCTTACACTATCATTTTTTTTTTCATGTTTAAACTATTTTTTTGCCATTGTTGCTTTTGGCTTGCTTATTGGGGGCTATAACACTATTTTCTTTTCATCCATGTGTATTTAACCATAGGTCAAGTTTATATGTAAAACATGTTTAAAAGTTGGATTAATTAAACCAATTAGTTACATTGTTAAAAAAATGGTTTATGGGACCATTTGATTCAAGTAGTGCTAAGAAGTGTGAATTACTTTGAACTTAAACATAAAACACCATGGTAGACCAACAGAATTCACCCAAATTTTGTCCACCCCAACTAATTGTCTGAACCATAGACGGTCATGAACAAAGAACTTTGAACAATATTGATGAAATGTAAGGTTTTGTGATTTCCCAGCATGAATTGCAGCATGAATAAATTATGAGGTTTGTAAGAGAATTGTTGTTTCTATTTGCTGACCAAAAAATAAATAAATTGAAAACAGTTTTGTCTTTATTGTTGGTTCATGCAATCATGCAAGGTGATTTACAAAAGTTTGTGCTAGTCGCTATTTTGTGGTAGCACGTCTTAAACCAGATGCTAATCTGCTCTTGGTACACAATCGTGTTGATAATGGCCTATGCTATGTCCAATGGAAATGATCAGGCTGTGTCTGTTTCTTCATCCTTCCAGCGGGTATTATTATTATTATTATTATTATTATTATTATTATTATTATAAATCGAATGTTCATCATCGGAGTGGTCCAAGACTTTAAGCAATTTTGTTCCTTGACTTTGCACGAAAACAATTGAATGGATTAGAGGAGTTTATGTAGTTGAAATAAGAAAGTTGATGACCGCCATAGGAATGAATGAACAGCATTTATTTTATTCTGAATTAAAGTCAGCATTTTCAAATAAATATTCTTCAAGGTTTTACTTTTTTCACTTGAATTATTACAATATCTTCCGTTTATACAGAAAACATAACAAATAAAATATAAAATAAAATAAGTGAAAGCATTGTTATAGCCTACATTTTACTGTAGCCTAAGCTATACATCTTAAAGCATGCTGTAGTCTGCATTCATTTTATTTATAACTCAGTCGCATATTTCTCTCGCGCAGATTTGATCTCTCTCGCTATGGAATGCCAAAGCTGACTAAATTAAAAATAAATAAATACCAGAGATCAGTAGATATGATTTACTGCACGCTTAATAGAGATGTCAGAATTTAATTAAATAATTTTGTGAGGTTTCACACAACATAATGAATCATACATTAATAGAGGTGTTGAAGAGACTCGTCACGAGTGTAAAACCACAACCACAAAACCACAATGTATTTAACAATAAAACAGACAACACAACGAAACGCATGCATTCATGATAATATTGCTGCTGAATCTACAGAGATTAAACGTGATGAAATAGCTAATGTTATTTTGCATTGTCTTCACTGGCGGTAAGCGAACAGATATAATCAACAATACAACATTAATCAGACAAAATTAGCCTATCACAAACACGCAGAAAAACTGTTTTCTATCGGCTATTTAAAAGACATATTGAAAAATCAGCAAAATGTGCAAATCACATAATACAAAGGTACCATGCATGTGCTGAAGATTTTCCTGTGGATTAGGTGTAAATATAAAGGATTATCCTCTTGAGAGAGTTATTGCTCACCTCTAGTCTGTGTGTCTGCAGCGTGTGTGTGAGTTCATTCACTCTCTGACTCACTCTACAGCTCACATTGCTTTATAGGCTACTGGCTCTTATACTGTCTATGATGTACTGGCTACATTTTTACATTCACTTTCGAAATAACGTTGCTCGGGGCATTTCCAAGTGCTGGGCATTTCCGACAGCAGGCGCTGCTGTCACTCACTGACCGGCAAATCTCCCCTTCATGGTGTGTGCAATTTTGCATTTCAATATGTCTAATAATAGTGAAGATAGACAGAGCTGTATCGTCTCTCTGATTGTTGCAAAGGAGCATCAAAAGATTTTTAATAATTTTTAGTGCTGTTAAAGAAGTAGTTCACTTTTAAAAAAACTTTTGCTGATAATTTACTCACCCTCATGTCATCCAAGATGTCCATGTCTTTCTTTCTTCAGTCGAAAAGAAATTAAGGTTTTTGATAAAAACATTCCAGGATTTTCTCCATATAATGGACTTCAGTGGGAACCAAACGGTTCAAGGTAAACATTTAAAAAAAAAAAAAAAAAAAAAAAAAAAAAAAAACACTTTCAGTACAAACTGCAAACTGTTCAAAGGGCTTTAAACGATTCCAGACGATGAATACGGGTCTTTTCAAGCGAAATGATCGCTCGTTTAAAACATAAGTAGCCTAGTGTAGAAAATAAAAGTTTAAGTTTTATAAGCTCAAATGCTCGCCTTGCTCTAGGCTACTGTGATGCACGTTTGTGACTCTCCTGTCCTGTAACTCGTTCATCAAAATGAACAAATCTTTTCCCGAGTCAGTTCGTTCGTTTCGTTCGTTGAATGAACCAAATGACTCGGAAAAAGATTCGTTCATTTTGATGAACGAGTTCGAATCAAATTGTAGTAGGCCTATGTATTTATTCACGTGATTCATTCTTTTTTTTTTACACATATGCACACACACACACACACCTGACCTGTCCCACACACTTTTTAAAACAAAGTTACGCCACTGTATATTCATTCAGTTAAGCAACCCAGTTCATATCAGACATCATCACATCCATACTGCATACAGAGCAAAGTCGGAAGTGCGGATTGCAACAGTATAATACAGTATAGACCATTTCACAAGATGTAAACAACACCGGTCCAGAAGCACTTCCTGTTTCAGTTTTTTAACACTACATAAAAGCTGGGATAAAATACAACCAACAGAACATTTAAAACTGAATCAAAAAGTTAAACAAACATCTTTAAGATGTTTTCTTTACATGTGAAATAAAGAAAACAGTTACAAACTGAAACGGGAAGTGTTTCTGCACTGTAAAAAAATATTGATGGTTTAACTTAAAAAAGTAAGTAACCTGGTTGCCTTTAAATTTTAAGTTCATTGAACTGGAAAAAGTGAGTTACAGTTTTTCTCAATTGCTAAAACACTGAAACACGAAAGATTGCTCCATTTTCTGAAAACATTAAACACAAAACCTTATCTTCAAGCACTATTTACAAAACCTCTGATTCCTCTTGCAAAATGAAACCTTCGCCTCAAAACAGTTTTACCTGTGTTCAAAATCAAACACTGCTCTCAAATCATAAACAAAGTGATTAAAATGCTATACACTATCAATCAGTCAGTAAACAATACACCAAACAATTTAAAACACATTGTTCAAAACATAGCTCTCAGGGAGAAGTATATGTCAAAACAAATGAATTCCATATAAAAAAATCATATTTTTTCATTGTACGGTCTACAGCAGTGCACTGTACTACAGTATACGATATATACGAAATAAGGGACACAAATGAAAGGAGTAAACATTTGATCAATGTGCTTCTTCTTGTCTTTGGCCTGGGTCATTCCAGAGGACTTCATCGACTTCACAAGCAATATTGTCCCTTGCCCCCCTCCTCTTCCTCTTTCTTGCCCTTATCTTCCTCCTCTTTCTCTTTCTTGCCCTCCTCCTCCTCGTCGCCCTCCTCGCATACGTTGTTTTTTCTATCCATTCTGAGACTTTCTCCTTCAACAACCTCTCAGTTCAGTTTGCTCTCTGAACTGGCTAATATTGGTTGTGTCACATCATTTGAAACAGGTTGAATCAGTTTTGAGTGGTTGTGTTCAATCAAATGATATGTGTTTTCTATTTATATTTGATTGTTGCCACTTGTGTTTACCAGTATGGATGACATGTGCATTAGAGTGCAGAATGTGTTTTGAGAATGAGAATGTGTTCAGAGTTTTGCTGAAAAGTCTAAGTGAGATCTGCAAATTGTGTTTTACCATGAGAAATTGTTTACGGTATTGACAACAGACTTCACAATTAGCTAAATGAGTTCAGGCAACTGATAACTTTGTTCAGCCAATGGATTTTAGTGTTTTAGCAATTGAGAAAAACTGTAATACAATGAAGGAAATTAATTTAACCATCAGAAACTCCAAATTATATGTTATCTGAACTAAATTAATTATTTAAGGCAAGGCAAGTTTATTTATATAGGACATTTCATACACAATGGCAATTCAAAGTGCTTTACATATAATAAATTAAAATAATCAAAAGAAATCAGAATAATTAAAACAGTTTAGAATAAAAAATAAGAAATAGTGAAAAATAAAAATTATGATAAAAATAAAATACAGTAAATTAAAACCATTTAGAATAAAATGAAGTGCAGTAACAGTCGGACGAACAGTGGCACAGTGCTCATTCAGTAAATGCACAGCTAAACAGATGTGTTTTGAGTCTGGATTTGAATGTGATTACTGTAGGAGGACACCTGATCTCTTCTGGAAGCTGGTTCCAGCTGCGGCTGGCATAATAGCTAAAAGCAGACTCTCCATGCTTAGAGTGAACCCTTGGTATTTCTAGCTGATGTGATCCTAATGATCTGAGCGATCTGTTGGGTTTATATTCAGTGAGCATATCTGCAATATATTGAGGTCCTAACCCATTAAATGATTTATATACCAGTAATAATACTTTAAAATCAATCCTAAATGTAACTGGCAGCCAGTGTAAAGACCTGAGGACTGGTGTGATGAGTTCGTATTTTCTGGTCCTGCTCAGAATCCTGGCAGCAGCATTCTGTATGAGCTGCAACTGTCTTATGGTCTTTTTGGGAAGGCCAGTGAGGAGGCCATTACAGTAATCCACCCTGCTGGTGATGAAAGCATGCACAAGTTTCTCTAAGTCTTGACTGGAAACAAAGCATCTAATTCTTGAAATATTTTTCAGATGATAGTATGCTGATTTAGTTATTGCTTTGACATGATTATTGAAACTAAGGTCTGACTCTAGAGACACACCAAGATTCCTGACTTGATTTTTAGTTGTTAGACCCCTAGCGTCAAGGTATACATTCACCTTCAGAACTTCTCACTTTTCATCTTTGTTTCCAAACGCAATAACTTCAGTTTTGTCTTTGTTTAACTGCAGAAAGTTTTGACACATCCAACCGTTTACATCATCAATGCATTGGCACAGGGAGTCAATGGGGCTGTAGTCGTTAGGCGATAGGGCTAAGTAGAGTTGTGTGTCATCTGCATAGCTGTGGTAAGCGATTTGGTTCTTTTTCATTATTTGGCTCATTGGGAGCATATACAGGTTGAATAGGAGTGGCGCAAGAATCGAGCCCTGAGGGACTCCGCAAGTCATGGATGTCCACTCAGACTTATGTTCTCCCATACTCACAAAATAACCTCTCCCTTCTAAGTATGACTATGACCTGAACCATTTTAGGACTATCCCAGAAAGCCCCACCCAGTTTTCCAGTCTGTCAAGAAGTATGTCGTGATGTGTCAAAAAAGAACAGTGTCAAATGCAGCACTGAGGTCGAG